AATCATTAACATTTAATAGTACAGATATAAGAAAATATTGATACCACAATATATCGTGATGTTTTTCCTGCAATATTATATCGATATTCAAAAGTCGTGTATCTAATTTTGGAAGAACTTACATGCAAACATTTGTGTATTTTCTTTTCTTTTGGTGCAATCCAAACACCAACCGCTAGTTGGTAGCAGTGTGCAAGGTTTTTTTTCTACCATTGAAATGTAAATCCCTCTATTATGGTTCAAATACCTCATGTTGAACATGTTAAGTATCAGTTTGGACTGTTTATTGAATTTTCCTACAATAAATTCAGTCTAAAATAATCACTAATATCATCTGACTGAATGTATCGTAACATATAGTGATATATTGTATCATCTCCCCTTTATTGTGATATGTATCGTATCACCAGAATCTAACCAATACATATCCCTATTTAATAGCAAAGAGGAAAAGAGGAGAGAAGGGCATCTACGTAGCATTTTTACCGTGTGGTAAAGAATGCACCTTGAGCTCATTGGAGCATCCAGTTATTAGAAATGATATTCAGATGACATCTGCATAGTTGTCATTGAAAGAAAGCCTTTTGAGATTGTAGCTGACGGGTGTGTGTGTGTGCGTGCGTGTGTGTGTGCGTGCGTGCACGTGCGTGCGTGCGTGCGTGTGTGTGAATAACTGGTTGTGTTGTAAAGAGCCTTGGGGGACTGTACAACTCTAGATGACGCTATATCAAATCAAGCCCATTTGCCATTTTTTTACTATAAGACCATTTGAAATCTTCGCTTTTTAACCTTGATGGCAAGCCTGAGACATTTGAGTTATACTATCTCTGAAAACTTGAGATATTTTGGTTGGAAAGATTAAATGTTAATAAATAACTGGTGAGTCCATCACATGTTTCAGCTGGTGTTAAAAAGATGAAGAAGAAGCTGTGGACTATTTAGGATGTGAGATAGCCCTAGGGTGGGCCAAACCTGCCATGGGTTGGTCAGTATCCCCCTCAGAGAGGATGTGCACGGTCTAATGAGAAGACTGAGCTAATCACAATGACGAGGAGCTACAGCTAAATGAGAGCACAAAGAGATCAGGGCAATGCCTTCGGGAGGCCAACTTACACAGAAATACACTGAGATGTGCAGAGAGGAATATTACAGGCAGGAACAGAAGGTCTACTGAACTTTATTATGTTTTAGATTCTATTTCTATTGTGGTTTCTGGGGCTGGGTACCGGAACGTTGGACCTCTTTAGTATCAACCTAGCACATACTAGTATCAGAAAATATTTGGCATCATATTTTGATAGCTCCATTGCTTACGCTGCTGCACATCATGGGACTGTAGGGTCTCACTCACAAACAGCCCACCTCTAGATTAAAGCACTTCCAGGTTTGCAGAATAAAAAATACTGAAACAAATCTAAGTTTTGGCTGTTAGATGTTACTGTTTAGATATTTTATATTTCTTGAACAAAGATTAAATAATTGTTTGCACTTTATTTTTCTGCTGTTGACTTTTCATACTGTAACTCTTTAATTTTACAAATATTTAAATTGTTTTTCGCTTAGGGTAATAAACAAAACAAAACCTTTACTAATTTGTCCTCTTAAAATTTGACTTAAAAATAAAGGTGCACAAAAAGTATATTTCAAGTACGTGTACCATAAATCATTAAAGTGCCTGTATTGAGATAAAATCTAAACGTGTCCAACACTAATATTCCCTCTTCTTTGCACATCATATCTGTGTAAACTGTATTTGTTGATGGTGGCAGAGGAATTAAGTGCCTGCCCCATAACTGGAGGGTTACAGGTTTGCATCCCGCTAAGTCTGTTGCAATCACGTCCTTGGGCAAGGCACTTAACCCACTTTACCTGCTGGTGGTGGTCAGAGTGGTGGCACCTGTGTACAGCAGCCTCGCTTCTGTCCGTGCTCCTGAGAGCAGCTGTGGCTACAATGTAGCTGATCACTACCAGTGTGTGTGTGTGTGTGGGGGGGGGGGGGGGGGGGGTTGAATGATTAATGTACTGCAAAGAGACTTGCGGGTCGTAGGGCATTAGAAGGTGCTGTATGCATACAGGCCATTTACCTTTTCATTGGTGTTGAATTGTGATTTTTTGTAAAGACGTTGTGACCTCTGAAGTTATTCCAGAAACCCTAACCTACTTTCACCAATTATCAAAATGCACAACTTAAAGTAGATAATAAATGTAACTGCAGTTACTGAAGGCAATAAATAATTTTACAATATCATTATTGATTATGATTGCCGTTGAAAACAGAATTACAAACTATTTTGAGTCCCTGGTGATCACTTGACATTTTAGAACTTTTAAGATGTGCACATTTTTGTCTCCATTCCAAATTTTTGACTTAACAGAGCAAAAGTGCCACAAGCAGATGAGAGCAAAATGGGGTAATGGTAGTATACAAAAAAAGCTGAAATGTGGAGGAGGAAGTAAAGGTTTTTATCCTGAGGTACAAGTGGGTGACTGAATTCATACCAGGAATTATTTTCCATTGGTGCTGAGAGATAAGACAAAAAAAATTGCATTGCTATTTAGATGCACTTCTTTGAATTTTTTTACAGCAATCCTGGGTGTTTTAGACTTATTTTCCTCAGGGATATAATTTCACAGTCAAACTTACAATGAAAGTGTAAAAACCCCCACAAATTATTGCATTTCCTTTGTAGAAATAGCCCTCACAACATCCAAATAAAACGGAAAATATATGATGAAGAAGTAGCACAGTGTCTTCTATGGATATTAAGTTATGGTTCCCTTGCAATAGACCTTCCTGAGCACCAGACACTGCAGTAAATCTGAGGCTTAGTTTGGTAAATCAGTGGTGCATGAAATAAAGTCCAGACAAAAAGGCACAGAGTAATGTTTGTAATCTTTGTGAAAAGCAGCCCCACCGAGTCTGGTCTCAGTTGTTTGGGTGCAGTAAAGCACATAAAATGATTTAAGCCTGGAGTAAAAATGTTTCTGACTGCAATAAATTGTTGTTTATAGTGCCTAGTGGTGGAAAAACAACTAAAAGATTAAAAGTTTGCCATAGAAAAGTTCAAAAACATGGTTTTGCTATATGAACATAAAGTAATGATTAAGGTGCTAACATTTTTTTCCCTTCAGAAATGTTTTAAAGCTCCAAAAAGCCAACATCTCACTTCAGAATAAACCACTTCTAAATAGAATGAAGATGGCATGCATTAGAATTTTATTTAGTCTTTTTGATGCTCATGGTACTTTATTTTCCTGATAATCCATCTGGATTGAGTCCGGTATATAAACAAGTTATTAAATCTGCACTTGCAGAAGCTGAAACAGTATAATCTGATAATAACTGGGAGCAAACCATAGCCCTTAAATCTAAATACACATGTATTTAGGCATCTGCTAAATACATAAACATAAACATGTAATTTTTTTGTACACTACTGAAAAGAGCAATGTACATTTTTGGGTAAGTGCAGTTGAAGCAAGCTACATGGGGCGGGGATCAAATGAGTGACCCCCTTCCTTCAGGTTCCTCCCTAGAGGCAGAAAAGAAACTGATAGTTGCAGAAAGTGGTACAACACTGGCTTGCGACACAAACACACAAACACACACACGCACGCACACACACACACACGCACGCTGCTGTTGAGGTCAAAGCTTTCAGAACCAACTCCGAACCAAACTGAACCTCCTCCCACCCGTTTCATGTTCCCCACCTTTAGCATGCTAGCTAATATAGTGTGGTGTTTTAAAGGGAAAACAAGGCAGGTGTTAGCTTTCTGGGCTTACTCTTAACTTTAAAATAACAGCAGCTCAGCGCCACTGACAATCGGGGAAGCCACTAACAAGAAACTTCCGAAACTTGGAAGAAAACTCTGTTCTTCCCACCAACTTAACAGTGGCACAAACTCTCTCTCTCTCTCTCTCCCTCTCCCTCTCCCTCTCCCTCTCCCTCTCCCTCTCTCTCTCTCTCTCTCTCTCTCTCTCTCTCTCTCTCTCTCTCTCTCTCTCTCTCTCTCTCTCTCTCTCTCTCACACACACACACACACACACACACACACTCTCTCTCTCTCTCTCTCCCTCTCCCTCTCTCTCTCTCTCTCACACACACACACACACACACACACACACACACACATTTAAGCTCACACAAGCAGCTGCGTGCTTATTCTATCACTGCCTTCATGAGCATGAAACCAGTATCAATGGCCGAGGCCATGCAGAGGCAGGACTGCAGCGCATTGGGGATCACCGAAGAAAAGGGTTCAAAAACCTGCTTGACTCTTTCTGGATGCTGCATGCTGTGAATGGAGGGAGGAGATGATCCAGCTGAGGGGCAGATCAGTCACTTTCCCCTCTTTCATTCACACAGCCTCCATTAATTATCGGAGTACTGCAGGCACCAGAGTCAGTTTTAAAATCACACCACCAATTAAAGTAAATTAGACTGAGTGAAATGTTTTTTTTAAGCTTTTACATCCTACAAGATGCTGTAGCAGCCTGACTCAAAGCACTTTGGTGCACAACAGAGACCAAATCTCAAATACTTAATATCCCTTTGAATGCATGAAAGGCTGCGATGGTTATGGGAGCAATGCCAGGGCTGCAATCTGTCTCTGGGTGACTGCCAGCAAGAAATTTCCAAAAACCGACAATATCCTAAATCCTGTGCTCAGATGTGGAGCAGGCTTTGCAACACAGACACTAAGTAGTACTGCTGCCATGGAAACTGATGGGGCTCCCATTGACAAAACATCAAATATAGACCTGTCTATGTTTGTGTTCATATAAACACATTGCTCCAGCCCACTTTTTGTCAAGATGTGAACACACGCACACACACACACACACACACACACATCAGATAAAGCTTGCAGGCCGATAATCTAAACAACAAGTGTGATCAGGTCTTTCTGTTATTAAATACACTATCAGTGCTAAAGGATGAGCAATAATTTGGCTTCAGCTTTGACTTCAGCTCAAATGTCTCATCAGTACTTACTCTGAAGAGTCGATGAAGTATATTCCAAGGGCTCCAATGCTGAGTGCAAAGACCAACACCACCTGAGGAAGAAAGATGAGACAAACATTAGTTTGTTGATTACACGGATTGCTTTGCTGTATAGGAAAGAACTGCCTTCTGTACTGAAATAAACAGACTTTTGAACCATATTCTCATTTTTCCAGTTTCACCTGTATCTGTCACCATCATTGTTGATGGATCTCGGTTGTGTGCAGTGACATCAAAAAACATACCAGAGATCAGTAAAGAGCAATCACAAACATCCATTGTTGTTTTAAAACCACATGTTCAATGGGGCTGGGGGCATTAGGTTTGTTGTAATAACAGAACAATCCATGAAATCTATGCAGCTAAACTGTCTCCCTGCTCTGTGATCCTCCACAGACACTCACATGCATTCCTTTTAGTAACTCTGGGCAGAAAGAGGAGGGGAGGAGGTGGTGAATGACCTGGACTGGCTGCTATGATAGGATAACTGGGTCAGTTTAAGATGATGGTGCTTCTTATTTCTTCAGCTCATCGCTGCATGTTCACTAGTAACTGCTCAGCTTTTTAGCAGTTGTTCACTCCACAGTCACACTTCTCACATAGGCCTACTCTTTTCCCATCTCTCCAACGGTAGACGTAATAAATCAGGGAAAAGTTTCAGATGTATGCTAATTTCGGGGGGGTTTTGCCCTAAAATCTCATGTATCCATATTAAAGATAAAACGTTGGGTCATCATTGGCAAATTTTGCTGCAAACTATTAACAATGCAGCCAGGTCGTTCATCGGCCACTATGCATTGAACGAATACAAAGGAGAATTCCCCTGAAAGTGGTCAAGTTCCCATCATCAATAATGAAAGATCAAATTACCAGAGGGACAGTGGACGTCTTTTGTGAAAAAGCTGAATGAGGAACACAAGGGAGGAAGCATTGTGCATCAACACAATAGTCAGCTGTTGTAAATGGTGATTATGATGATAGTGGCGATAACTGTGATGTGACTGCTTGTGTTTGCAAGTGCACTTTACTGGTTTGGGTGGGTTGTTGCACGCTGGAAAATTTCCACAAAAGAGTGGAAGAAGATGCAGATTTCTGCACTGATGTAGGAGAGGATACTTTGGATGTCTGCATCATACACTCTCATGCAATAAAATAAATATTTATTATATATAATGGAACACTCATCATTTTCTCTTTTTATTTCTGTACCAGTTAGGCTCTTGTCTCCGTTTAGTGTTTTGATTTGTCGTGATGCAGTTTGTAATTTCCGGTTGCTGAAACAAAACTGTCTTGTAAGATTTGGATCTTTACCGTATTGAATAACCTGTTGAAATGCTGAGCTCAGGTTCTGCTGCTACTGCAACGCTCCCTGTCTTACCTTACCTTATTAGTCAAGGGTAAGGAATGCCTGTTCCTGAGTTTCTGTCTGTGACGGAGTCTCAGTTTCACATTTGTGTTCTTTTGCCCATCTTCCCCTTTACAGCACATTCCATAAGTACTTCTCATACATATGACAGGTTAGTCCCTCCACTGCCTGCCCCAACACACACATACACATACACACACACACACACACACACACACACACACCAGCAACATTTCAACGATGGTTCATAAAATTTCAATAAAAACAAAAAATCATTAAAATCGCCTCTACCTCCAAATCAGATAAATAAAAGTCAAATCCAGCAACTCAGCAATTAGTACTTTGGAAACACGTTACAATAAGGGTCCCTTTATTAACATTACTGAGTGCATTATTAAGCATGAATAAACTATTAAATAAAGTATCAACATTTACTTAATATTAATGTTCATATTAAGTAATGCATTCCTAAGCAGGCACCACCCGGCCGTTTGTCCTAACCTTAAAGAGAATGGTTAGAAAAATGGGGGAGGGGGCTGTACCAATGACGTGACATAGTACCAGCACCAGTCAATCGCAAATTTAAAATGCAGTAGCTGCTGTTCAACCCACAGGGGGCAGCACTAAGACGTTTTTAGACCTAGATTCTAGAATTAATCAAGTTTACATAAACATGTCAAAAATGCACAGAAACAGAAAGATTGCATTTGTAACGGCCCAGTTATACAGTTTATAAGCTAAAAAAAGTTATTTGGGGGTTTAGTTACTCTTTAAGGACACTTAATAGTTAACAATATCGAGAATGTAAATAAAGGGATCCCTTGTTTATTAACGCTTAATAATGCACTAAGTAACGTTAATGAAGAGACCCTCATTGTAAAGTGTTACCAGTACTTCTATGCACATTTTATTATTTATGTGGTGAGGTGGCAAAAGTGAGTCACATTTGTTTCCAACTGGAAAACGCTGGCATCGTGTCAGAGGAGCAGCATGTGACGGATGTGATGTCTGTGTTTCTCTTTAATAGCTGTGTAGGTTTTCATTGGTGTATCCTTTTCTATATTTAAGGCGCTAAGCTATCTGTCAAATGTTTTCCAAGGTGCACTTCTGCAGGCAACGCTGGAAGGCTGCAAGTGTGAACTGGGCTGTGACAAATGTGTGTACGCGTGTGTACGCGCGCGCGCGCGTGTGTGTGTGGGGGGGGGTCGGGTTTCAGCTAAAGGTAGCAGCACTTCTGACACCGCTTGAATTGTAAACACATAATAATTTACACATCTAAACACACAATGTTCTCTTTTTATTTGACAGTCTAAAGATCTTCATAAGCACATTGTGGCTTGCAAGTGGAAGTTGAAAACACAGCCAATAATGTCACACACCACTTCCTCTTCCAACAGGGATCCTGTCTAATGACTTCCTCTGTCCTCCAAGTGCGTCCTGTGACGAGGCGGAGTCTGTGAGACAGGTGATGTGAGCTGACAACATACAGGATGATCACTTCACATTAATGCCAACTAGCAAAGTCAAAAGAGCAGCGCCTCAAAATATGTTTTATCTGCTACAGGGGGCTTGCAGTTGTTGTTTTTTTTTTTTTGAGAACAGGAAGCCTGCTTTCAGGTATTAACCTAATAAGAATTCACTTTTTCTTCAAGAACTTATTTTTTACTCTTTTTGAAAGGTTATTTAATTAAGAAAAGGTGTAAAATATTTTTGTGTTTATGCCATCTAGTGGTAGTATGTATGATAATGTTTGCCCTTTTTAAGCAATGGTAGAAAAGTGATAAAAGAACTGAACTAAAATCCCCAACATGTGTCAAACGGGTTCTCTTAAAGTTCACAACAAGCTTTAAATATTTATGCAAACTTTCATTTTGCACAATCACTTAGTGGAATTGATATGGTTCTTTTTGGCTGGGCATTTAATCTATCTGGGTTACAGGCATCAACTTTCAAGTTATTAAAACTGCTCTCTCATCACTTTCAGGGTTGATGCATTTTATCCACTGGTGTTGGCTCCAGCAGTCGTTCTGCAAGAGACAAGGTACAACCTAGACAAGTCCATCACAGACCACCATGTACAATCATAGACACGTTTAGAATTATCAGTTAACCAGTCAACCCGGGCAACAAAAATCTAACTAGAAAGCTTTTTATAAAGTAATCTGACCACCAATGCCAAACCAGAACTATAGGATATGCCACAAAGTCTCTAAAACAGTATCCCTCACAGTTAAATAATCCTGATGGGTTAACTTTCAGACTCCACAGTTGTTAATGCCACTTTTCCCAGTAGTAAACAGTATGTAGAAAGGATCCTTGGCAGGCAGGCTATTTGGTTGGTGAAATCAGGATTAGCTCTGTTCGTCACCTCTGCAGCTGAGGCTCTCTCTCTCGTTCAACTCCTACAGGTCGATACTGTGGTGCAGGTGAACACTGTACTGTGGTTGCACAAAGAAGATGTCTATTATAAAGCACACAACGCCATTTTACTGTATTCAAATAAAATGAGGAGCTAATGACATTTACACTTTCATTCACAACTTCAAATTCACAGCAAATAGTACCGCAAAAGCTGCAGTTATGTAAATCAGCAATAGACGACTCATACTGGGATATTTGTGTTCATCAAGAAGTCAAATGAGATGATATCTTGCTAGAATGTTGATGGTTCCTAAAAACTGCATAAGGAAGAATCCAATCGCCCGTGGAGTGCCGGACAGACTCCAGCAGCGAACAACTGCATTAGCTCCAGGGTTATCTTTCACAACAACACCACAAAACACCATGGCATGAAAGAGAATGGGCGAAAGTGCAGGACTCTTACGAGTGGCGTGGTAATTATTGAAGTTTCTGTTAAACGTTGATGCTGCAAGGAACGATGGCATCTCCCTTCAGGGGGCTCAAGGCCGATTCACAGATGCATGTATGTGTCTGACATTCTGCCAGAGAAACACTCTGTATTCCAGTCACACGCTTTACAGCTCAACCCCAACTACAGATTCCTACTGCGTGACTAGAAAGATGCACAGGAGGAATAACAAACCAGACTAAAGCAGTTGGTTGGTGATGAACTTCCAAACTCACTCTGCATTTTAAAGATGAATATTAAGTCGTACACAGAAGATCTTTTTTAATGTTTGTCATCATTTAAACTCAAAGAATATATAGACTCTATAATTTAAAGTAACCTCATAAAAAAGGCTCTCTAATACTTTTATCTAGTTTCTGTCAGAATCTACAACTATAAAGCTAAAGGTAAAAGACAAAACAATTTCCTCCTCATGAGCCCATTCTTTCTACTTTAATGCTGTACACATCAGCGATGCGTGAAACAAGACGCATTTAATCTGTCAACTGATTTTTCCTTTTAGAGGCTGTTTCTGTGTGTGTGTAAACCCATTTTTCAAGATACCGTGGATTTGATATCTGATTTGTTGTTTGGAGAGGAGAAGAACCATAAAATCCATGCAGCAATATAGTCCAGTCCCCGCTTCTCTTATCATATGGTCCGACACCCTCACAGCTTCTTTTGTGTTGCCATCCAAGGTCAAACGAATGCCATCTCTAAAGTAAAACCTCGACAAATAAAGGATTGATAGAAGGACACCTTCCCGTCCTTCTGCTACCCTCTTTATCGTTCATCTATAAATGGCCCATGCTGCACAGAATAAAGGTCTAGAATATAAA